TAATACCCTTGCAAGTGAGAACTTGATCACAGCAAAAAATGGACAAAATCTTCTATTGTGGATTCAGGGATCAGAGAAGGTCAAGATCTGCGTGAGTCACACAGCAAAGCTGCCAACATCTGGCAACCCGAAGCACCCAGGAGACCCTCAGGGCCAAACAGGAAGCCCAGCCCCAGAAGGCTGGGATGAGGCCACTGTGCTCTTTGCCTCCCTCTTCTTATCTCCCTTCTGTCCTCCAGATTACAGCCCCCACACCCAGGCAGAAACAAAAGCCACTTCCTTTTGTGGAGGGTTTGGGGAAGGGACTAGCGGTGCCCCATCCTTGGGCAGTTCTCTGTAGGGCAGTCTCAGTAGCAGGCCACTCCCTGCCTTCCTTCACCAATCACAAAGTGGGAAACTGAGGGTTAGGCCTGTGTCTCAGACTAGGTGAGTTTGAAGGCACTTCTTGTAACAGATGAACAGCACAGCAAAGCACTGGCAAAAGCAGCAGGAAGGTACCTTGAGGAGGAAGAGAATGAACAGCTGAAGTTAGTCACCAGGCCACTGGCACTGAGGACAGCAGGGCTCACTGGGGTGTGGACTCTGTCTGCAAGGTGTTCTGGGTGCTCTGCCCCCAGATCTTAGCTGGGGTTTCCCCACAGTGCACATGTGGCAGCCCCAGGGCAGGCCCACCCAAGGGGGCAGGGCAGGGACTGTATTTATCCTTAAAGTGACTATCCTTATCCAGGGAGACCTACAAAGCCACAAGGCCTGGAACCAAGCTCCCTATCAAAGATCATGTGCCTCAGTTTCCCTATCTGTCAACTCTGGGCAGAGTCAACTGAATGTATTAAAAATGAACCAAGAGGAGAGTAGTGAGCCCCAACCCAGCAGCCCCTCCTTCTGTACCCTGCCAGCTGCTCAGGGGAAGCCCCTAACCCATAAGGCCTGTGCTGCTAGCTGGGTCTCCTTGCTCATCTCTCCTCCAGGGCTTGTGTTCATGAGCCGTTGCCATGGAGACTGGTCTCAGCCTCGTTGGCAGCAAGGACTCCCCCAGGGTAGGGCTCTGCCTCTGTTCCCCAGCCCCACCCTGCCCAGCTCCAGGTGCCCAGCATGTCACCAGCTGGATGAAAGGGAAAGAAAATAGGCCTTAGGAAGGGAACAGGTGCCCCAGAGAAGTTGGGGAAGGATCAGTTCTCAAATAGTCATTCACCAACCATAATTAGGACCTAGGCCCGCTCCCTCTTGCTGGGCCTGGTTCCAGGAGCCAAATGCTTCCACCTACACCCTCAGTTCTGCTTCCATTATACAGATGGAAGAATGGGAGCCCAGGGGCAGAGGAGGCTCTGCAGTAGGAAGCAGGGGGGGGGGGGCTCAAGGCCCTTGCCTGAGAGACTTCTTCCCTTCTCTGATCTGTCGCCAGAAGGGGGCTCAGAATGCCCAGTAAATAGAAGCTAGGCCAAGGAGGGCCAAGGGAGCCAGGTGCCCTTAGGGAGCCCAAGCTGCTAAACTGAACTCTAAGTGCCCCGAAGGGCTGGAGGGCTGCTAACCCATTCTGCAGAATCTCTAAGCTTCTAGGCCAGGACCAGGGGCAACTGACCCCCACAGAGGCACCTGAGATGGAGATCATACCGCGCTGGGTGGGCGGGCAGTGCTCGGAAGTGCTTTGTTCTCTAGGCACCAGTGTCCCACGTGCACACAGAGGGAAGGGTTTAGAGGCAGTTTCTGGGCTACCACTGTTTCACCCAACTAAAACAAGGCTCCAGAGAAGGAATGGGAGCCTGACCCTCCTCACCTGGGGCCAAGGCCTGTTTCCCTCAGGGGGTTCTCATGGGGAGGAGGAAGGGCCATAATTAACTGGATCACTGGGTGGTGCTGGGAATGCCAGAGCAGAGGCAGAAGCTACTGGAGTTCCCAGGATAGAGACCAGCTCTGGTACAGAAGGGAAGGGCTCCCCAAGGCATCTGCAGGGACAATCTGAAAGACAGTCTGAAAGGGACTGGCATCAATAGAGGAAACAGGAAGGGCATCCTGGCTAGGGAGGGGCACAGCTTGAGCCTCTGCTCAAAGGTGAAGGCAGCTGACATTTGTGGAGTCCTCTGTGTCTGGCCTTGCTCCAGGTGCTTCTTCAGATCCACGCTCATTCATCCTGCACAGCCTATGAGGTGGAGCTGGGAAATTATCCCACAGTGGCTCGGGCGATGGCTACAAGGTCGCACAGCTGGTAAGCGGAAGAACCTGGTCTCCAGCCCTGGTAGCAAAGACACTGGACTGCTCCACTCCAGTGACCACCCCCCAGCTACTATGACACTGTCACATGTTCAGAAGGTAAATCATGCACCAGATTTCCAAGACAATATGCAAAAGAATGCAAAATATCCCTGGAATAAATTTCATATCAAGTTCATCTTGAAATATGTTGGATATCTTAAGTTAAGTAAAATATATCAATTAATTGCACACACTTCTTTTACTTTTTTTTTTTTTTTTTTTTTTTCCTTTTTAAAATCAGACTGGACTACCAGAAATTTTAAAATTACTATGTGGCTTCTATCATAGTCCTTTTAGATGGTGCTGGTCTATACTATGAACAAAGAAAAATGTGCAAGGCAAATGTAGAGAAGAGTGAGAGCTCTCCTGTCCTTTGATGAGGGTCCCTGAGGCCAGGCTGTGAGGTTCTCAGGGGCCAGGTGGGCACAAACATCAAAGGTGACCAAGCAGCGGAGTATCTCCCCCCACCCCAGCCCCAGTCCCAGCTGGGCTACCAGGCAACAGGTGGACTCAGGCCCTGGCACAAGATGTGTGCAGCTACAGTAGTTATTATGGAGATAGTTAAGTGTCGCTCAGAAGTGAACTTGGGGGCAGGGGGAGGGAAGTCCACCACAGAGAGAGGGAGCCAGGCTTATCCGGAGAGGAAATCGGTGTGTGTTGTGTGTTGGGGGTGGGGCGGTACGGGAGCTCCTGCCCTAGGCCAGGACAGGGAGGGATGCATGATCCAGTCAAGTGTTTGCCCAGGGCTCTCCAGGCCTTCCTCCCTACTGCTCCACACCCTCTTAGCCACTACTCCCTACCTCTGCCCCCATGACCAATTCACTAGAAATGTGCTATCTTGTTTCCCCATTCTGACAGGCTGCCCCTACTAAAACCTCTAGTGGTGGGACCAGACTTCCCGAATCCCACCCTCTCCCTGCTGCCTCTGGCAAGGTCAGTTCTTTAAACAACACCAGAGGGGGCCTGGGACTGGAAAACACAAACTGAAAAGTGTTACAGTGCCAGAAGCAGCAGTCATTCCCTAGCTGAGAGCAGGTAGAAACCTATCCCCAGGCAGCCTTACTTACTGGTAAATCTGACACTAGATTTGTTGTCCAACTTCAGGAACCCCATGGGCAAAGGCCACCCAAGGGTGTTACCTCTCCCATCAGAAGCCTGTTTTGCACTGACTGCAGGTCCCTGTGTTCTCTGACTTCTCCCTGAAGGATGGCACCTAAACTCCCTGGCTTTCAGGCAGCACAGCATAAGCAAGATGGGGGTCGATGGACTTGAGAGAACACACAACACTGCTCACCACAATCAAGGTAAGAGTCTCTTGGGGACAGCCCAAGCCAGAAATTGATGCCATTGTCTACTTCCAACTCCCTCCAGGGAATGGATGAAGAGACTTGGGTTTTACAAGCAGGATTGAGGGAATAAGGAAGCCTCTGCCTTGCATCAGAGTTCTTCCTTACACTTGACACAAAACTCCATTCAATAGAGCAGGAGATTGTGGCCCAGAGAGAGGCACCAGGTGGGCATGTGGCTTATATCAGGTTTTTCCCCCAATCACCCCCAAAGCGCTACAACCTACAGAAAAAAGAAAAAACCCCTCTCCCCCTCCCCACTCTACCTCCCAAGCTGGCTCTTGGCCAGTTACTCAGAATTGCACTCCTGCTGTAGGGAGCTTCCACTATGCCAGACTGACCAGATTCCTTTCTTCTCAAGGCTGCATCATTCCACGCCAGGGGCAGCTCATCTAGGGCAAGTCCCTACCTCTTGACCCTGACAAGTCAGAGAAGGCAGAGCTAGCAGAAGGGAATCCCAGAACCACATCCATCCCAAGAGGCCCAGAGACAGATCAACTCAAAAACAGGGAATCAGATCTAAACACAAGCTGGGACTGGCCCAAGGTCATGCACCAAACACATTTGTGGCAAATCTGGGACTAGAAACCAGTTGTTCCGTGGACTTTAATCCTATCCTTATTGTTGATTCCCAGAGATATAGAGAATAAAGCCGCCCCTCTTTAACCCCAGAGGCCTATGCCCTGCCCCACGCCCCAAGCACCATAGGACCAGGGGAGGTGTCTCCAGGCTGCTAGCCAGGGCCAGCTGCAAACCGCATCCAGGGTCCCCAGGCGCCCGCGGACCCGCCCCGCCCCTCCCTCTGCGCCCCTCAGACCAGGGCCTTTGTCAGCCACGCGCTCACAAGCTCTCTCTTGCTCTCTCTCTCTCTCTCTCTCTCTCTCTCTCTCTCTCACACACACACACACACACACACACACACACATCTGCGCCGCCACGCGCGCACACATTCGGTTTCCCTGGCGCACACCCGCAAGGGGCGCACACACTCTCAGCACGCATGAAGGGGGGTGGAGGCGACCAAGGAAGGAAGGAACTGACGGGCCATGGACGTATGGACGGCCAGGGGGGTAGAGGAAGAGGAGAGGCCCGGGAACCTGCGGCTGCGGCAAGAACGCAGAGACGCAGAGGAGTCTCAGAAAAGGGACAACGGGTGGACCGTCAAGGGCTGGCGAAGACTTGCCGTCCGTGCCGGAGATGGGGACTCCTCCAACCCCTGGCCCTGGGTGGGGGCGGGGATTGGACCCATGGAAACGGGGACATCACTTGCCCCGCTGTGCTTGAGCAAAGAGCCCTTAGGGACTCCCGTAGGGCTTGGGTATAGATGGTCTGAGACCCAGAAGCTCCCTAGGGTCCTTGGGGAGAAGGGGCCCTGTCCTCGGGCCGGGTGGGGCACTTGCTCACCTGCCACGGTGTACCTGTCCAGGTAGTTCAGCACGTTGCCCAAGCTGAGGATGGCGGCGGCTGCCCCCCGCCCGCGGCCCAGGCTGGCCGGCTTGGGCTGCTGTGCGCAGGGGCCCTTGGCAGCGGCTGCGCAGCCCGGGGTTCCGGGGATGCTGGGGGGTCCGGCCGGGGCCCGCCTCACGCTGCCCGACAAGGTCTGCACCTCATCGTCTACAGCCACGACTCCAGCGCCACCCGTGCCCCGCGTCCCGCAGCAACCGCTACCGCTGGCCCCGCGCTGCGCCCCCCGGCGCCGGCGCCGCCGCTCCGCGTCCGCCTCCTCCTCCTCCGCGCCGCCCGCCGCCGCCGAGGCGCATTCCAGGCACATCATGCCGGCCGGGATCGGGGCGGCGGGGGGCGCGGGGGGCCCGGGGCCCAGCTCCGGCCCGCTCAGTGCGTGCGTGCGCCGCGGAGCCGCCGCTGCACCATCCTGGCTGGGCCCCGTCGGCTTCTGCGCTCCGGCCCCGGCTACGGCGCTGCCACTGTTCAGCCCCACTCGCCGCCGCCGCCTCTCTGACAGCTGCGGCCCAGCCCCGCCCACGGGGCCCGCGCCCAATCAGCTCCAGGTTCGGGCCACAGCCCCGCCCCGCACGTGCTGCGGGGGGTTGGGGGGCCTGGCCGCAGAGCCCCACCCGCCTGGCGGGGGCGCAGTCACGATGTAGCAGTGCGGACACGGACACGCAGCTCGTGCAGAGGCGAAGGAGTTCGCGAGGAGTGTTAACAGAGTTGGGGGTGGGGTACAGGAAGCGGGACCCCCGAATACCTACTCAGTACCCTCCACTCAGTTCCAACGACTGGCAGAGACTGGGAGACAGCCAAGGATTCAAACCTGGAGTGTCTGAAGAGCCTAGAGAGAAGGGTCCTACGTGGTCAAAATAGGGGCACCTGTTGGAGAGCCTCTGGGTCCAACAGCTCCCCGCATCCCCTGATTCAGCCAGTCCAGGGAAGGCTGTCTAAGAAACATGAGGCATGTGGGCTTGGCCCTGGACCCCGACTTCCATCAGGATTGGAAGGCATTGCTGCCCTCCTCCTCAGGTAGCTCCTACCTACCCTGGCCCACTTCTGTGTGTGCACCAAGAGCCCCCCTGTCCCCACAGAGTGGCAACCGCTGGCAGGGGTAGCCATGACTGAGCTTAGGACCCCACCAAAACATTAGAACACTGAGAAGGGACCTCCGTAGGCTTCAGACTTCTAGCTGTGCCCCAGCGAAGGGTACAAAGCCTTCAGTATCTGGGTCCTAGCCCAGCTCTGCGCTGGTATGTGCTATGACCCTGGACCAGCCCCTGACCCTCTCTGGTCTTAGTTTCTCTAAGGTTAGATAGGAGCATAAGATTCAGCCAGTTTGGAAGTCTCTGAGTGGTCACTCCTGCAGGCTGGAAGGGAGGGTGCTGTCTCTGCTGGAAAGTGGTGGAGGAGCTCCTGTATTCAAGACTACCAGCTGTTGTTGCTCTGTCCCATCTCAAAGGTGTGGATTTCTGTGATGCTCTCCCTAATCCTCCCTATTCATCTCTCTGGGGCTTTGAAATGAAAATCCTGTGCAATGTGCAGATGACAGAACGTTAGAACTGGGTGGATTGTCAAAATCAGGTGATTTTTCCTATTTTTCACAGGTCTCAGAGCACAGAAAATGACCCCATCATGAACATGCAGCCATCCAGCAGCAGGGCTGGAGCTAGCTCAGGGCTCTGATATCTTCCCCTAGGGTTGGGGGCTCATGTGCTACTATAGGCTGTTAGAGCCCCCACAGCCCCAGCAGGTGCAGCTTACGAAGGTATTGGCCACAGTGAGTCAAGATATAGCCAATGGTGATGCAGCATGAAGCAACCTCACACTGTCTCTGGTGAACAGAGTTAATCCCCAAGCTGGTGTTTCTTGGCGCCTTTGAGGTATATTTTAAATTCTGCAAAGTGACTAAAAATATGCTTCAGCATGTTGAGTATGAATGGCTGTGACAGAAGGGTTAGGAAAACATTTCATTCTGAAAGTTGCCTGCTGCCTCTTTCCAGCTTGCTGATCTCAGGCCTGCAAAGCCCAACAGGGCAAGTTCCACATCCTAGGACAGGTGATTAGCTGGCAAGGACAGACCTAACAGCTCTACTTCTAGCCCCCACATTGATCTGAAGAACTATGATGGTGACAGGGGACAGTGTTGGCTGCCCAGCTGTGGAACTGTGAAGATCTGAGTACCACTCCAAGCTCCCCTGCCCATTCCCCAAATTTCCTGTCCTTTCAGCCATAATTACCCTTTTCCAAAGGACAGTTTTAACCCTTGACATGAAAGAAATGCATTCTTCCCATTTCCCCACCGGATTGGTTCCAGAGCATAGGTTTTTGAGCCCTTTGAATTTGGGGGACCTCTGAGCTGCCATCAAGCAAGCTAGCTATTTCCACTGTATGGGGTTTGCTAGGATTTTAACCCAAAGGCAGTATCTAGAGTCAGCCCTGGGTGGGATAAATGCCCATGAAGGGCAAAGTGATGGAGAAGACATTAAGCTCTTTCTAGCCATGTGGCCCTGAACAAATCATGGTGACTTTTTGAGAACCTCTGGCAGTATCATGGGTCTTAGGGGTCTCATTGACATCTAACTGGTGATGAAACTGTGAAATCTGGGCATGGTGGTACACCCCTGTAATCCCAACACTCTGGGAGGCTGAGCCAAGAGGATCAAAAGTTTGATCCTAGCCTGAGCAACTTAACAAGATCCTGTCTCAAAAATTTTGAAAGAAGTCAGAGTGTGCTGGGAGTGTACCTCAGTGTGGAGTCCCTGGGTTCAATCCCCAGTATTGCAAAAAAAAAAAAAAAAAAATTTAATGAGGCCAGGAAAAAGAATTTACCCAAGGTCATATGCTTCATAAATGATGGAACTTGGAATAAACCCAGGTGGGTCTGCTCCTAAGCCAGTGCTTCTTCTTCCCCCTCTCAGGATTCAGTTTCCCTATCAGCATAATGGAAAACTGAGCTCAATAATGACCAAAGGGGCATCCGATATTTCATTAGGTCCAGACCTAACTTTGAAGCAAATAGAGCACAAGATACTAGTAGCCATTATTTTTTCTTAATTTTTAATGCATTTGGTACAAGGTCTCACTATGCAGCTCAGACTCATAGGGATTCTCCTGTTTCAGCCTCCCCAGCGCTGAGATTACAGTCATGTGCCACCATGCCTAGTCTTGGTGGCCAACTTGAGTATTTGGGATGGGGACAATGCATAATAGCCATTATTGAAAGGGCAGATATCTTTGAGAAATAGTGAGGAAGCACAGAGAAGTGTCCTGCATGAGGGACGTCTCAGAACTCTTACTGTGAATGTACACTGTGAGTCTCCCAGAGGAAAGGAGAGGCTGCCATGTGCTCAGGTGAACTTGGCCACAGAGCATCTTATAAGATCCCAGCTCTGCAGAACATTCTAAAAAGCATTGTTCTAGAATGTACTACCTTTCCCAAGACTGACCATCTGGGTTCAGCCCATCTCCCCTCTGCCCAGTCCCCTACATCTCAGGGATCAGGGTCCATGTCTTCTCTTCTCATCTGGCACACCCTCTTTTGGTAGCCTCTCTCCCATGCCTCAGCTTTCAGTAATTATCCTGCACTCATGACCCCCCACCTTCATCTCAAGATGGACCTCATCTCCAAGCACTAATCCCCCTCAATCTCCTGCATGTTTACCCAGCAATTCTACAGTCTGCCTCAGCACCTCCAAAACAGAATTCACCATCGTTCCCCACAAACATGGTCCCACTATCTCCTGATAAATAGCACCACCGACCACAATTTCCCAAGCAGAGGACTCTGGAAGTCATTTGGGACTCCTTCTTCTCCCTCATATGTCATATCTAGAGCCTGATGATTTTTTCTCCCAATCCCCCCATCTCTCACTGATACATCTCACTCCTTTGTATCTCACTCGGACCCTCTAGGGCTCAGCAGCACCTGAGATCCAGCATCCCCCTCCAGGATTCCCCCATAATGCTTCCTGGTAACTTCCTAAATCACATATGCTCCCCATCACTACCTTGCACAAAACCTTTCCATGGTTCCTCGCTGTTTATAAGTATTTAAGTTCCTTAATCTGATCTCCACAACCTTTCACAACCCTTCCTGACTCACCACAACATCCAGTCTCAGAGCCTGCCTCTCGTTTCTCACAAATTACTCTCCACCACACTGAACATTGAGCCCTCTGAACTCACAGTCATTAAGCTTCCTGGAGTCTGGGCAAGTAGCAAGATCCAGATCTCTTGTTTATGGGTCCCTGGCCTTCCCTCAACAGAAAAATCCTGTCCTGCTAATTCAATGATGATTCAGGACCACGGAGAGCGTCACAGTGCAATTCCCCACCCCCCCACCCCCCCACCCCACCCCCAACCCTTTAGTTGCCTTTAGTTGGCTAGGCCTAGGCTGCCTACCTCTCTCACCTTTCCCACTGATCCTTCAAACCCCAGCTCAGACAAGACCTCCTCCACAAAGCTCTCATTGACCCACTTGAACAACTGGTCATTTCTTTCCCTGGGTTGTTGACTAATTTCCATCACATCAAACTTGTCATTATACTGATTATGTTTGTACAAGAGTCCACCGCCACCACCCTCAGACAGATCATGAGCCTCAGGGCTGATACTCTGTCTGATTCATCTTCACGATTCAGTGCAAAGGAGGTGCTTGGATAATGTTTGTTGATTGAATGAGTAAATGACATTTAGCAGGTGCAGGAAATATGCGTTGGTTTACATCATGTATCTGTCGCTCTGAGTGACTCAGATGCCAGCCAGATTCCTTTCCTGGCCCTTCTAGAAAAGGCATTTTCTCCCTAATTGACTTCACCCTCCATTAACCACCCCCTGCCATTTGTCCCTGATTCTTTGATTAGTTTTCCTTGAGGTTCACTGGCCACAGGTGGAGAGAAGGCCCCTCGCCTCTACTCCTGTGGTTGCCAAGCTGAGGACTTGTTGGGGCCCCACCCCCCACCTGGGCCTGCCTTATAGAATGCCTCATCTCTGCCTGTCTCCTGCTCACAACAGATGGCTCCAAGGCCCCATTAACACAGAAGTTCCTGTTCTGTCATTTGGACATTTTAACACTTTTTAAATTATAAAGCTTCAGTCTCATTTGTTCATGGACTGAGATGATCAAAATGAAGAATCCTTTGAAGGACATTGAGCCCTGCCTCTTTACCGTCCCATGACAGGCTGCCTCGTAGGGTCAGTGGCTGGCCCAAAACTATTGCAGTGGACATTGTCTTTGTTTGCATCTCCCCTTATTTTTTCTCTAGTTGCTGGTTTGGGTTTTGTTTATTGTTATTTGTTTATTTTTTGCTCTGCTGGAGATGAACCCCATGGCCTCACGCATGCTAGATATGTTCTCTATCACTGAGCTACACCCTCAACTTTGCTTTTTTTTCTTTTCTTTTCTTTTTTTTTTTTCCTGCACATGTGTGTCTTGTTTTTTGTTTTTTACTACTGGAGATTAAGCTCAGAGTCTTTTAGTCTGAGTTGCATCTCCAGCCATTTATTTATTTATTTATTTATTTATTTATTTATTTATTTATTTAGACAGTTTTGCTAAATTGTCCAAGTGAGGCTCAAACTTGCAATTTTCCTGCCTCAGCTTCCTAAAGTACTAGAATCACAGGAATGCACCAACCACACCCACCTCACTGTTTCATTTTAATGACCAGAATTTACTTATTCCTCTTCCCAACAGCAGTATGGTTTCCTGCTCTTATAAATAAAGGCATGCGCAGAGAATCCAGGCTGGCCTGACTGGACCCTCATGCTCAGGGCTTTAAATTTTGAGTCTATGACAAAAGAATAGGGAAAAATACCTGGAGTTCTGGCGAAGACCCCCAGATGAAAAGGCCTGAATCTTCTGACTCTTGAATCTCCTGGCTACCCATGAATTTTGTAAGCTCCTGATATGTTCCCCTTAAATCCCTGGTGGGCAAAACAGTTTTGTTGCTTACACCCCCAATCCATAAGGTTCCCTGGAAGAATCAGTGCTAGTCACACCTCTGGGGACTGTGTTGGGAGAAAGTATGGCTCTGACAACCTCAATCTCCAGGACTTCTGCCTGCTCTTCTTTAGAGACTTTGTTAGCTCAACAAGCTCTCAGGCATAGGGGGATGTTACATACTTCAACGGTATGAAACAAACTCGTGGTTTGGGGTCCAGGGATAGAGATGTGCATGCTCAGTTAGTTACCCAAGCCTTAAGTCGTAGTGGAAGGAAAGCTTTCAGCAAGACTCCTCACATGCCCACACAAGGACAGGCTCACCTGCCTGCCAGCATCTCACCTGGGAGTAAGTCATTAACATATAAACAGAGCAGGGTCAGGCCTGAGGACCTGCCTGGCTGAGCAGCATTTTTCCCCCTGTTGACATTCCCAACAAACAAGTCAAAGTATGAGTGACTGGGATTACCCAACAAGTGCTCTTCAGGGCCAGAAGATGTGTTCCATTTACCAGGATCGCCCACTCTAAGCTGAGTGGCCTGGCTCTCCAGGACTCTCACATCTGTGGCCTCAGTTCACAGTGGCTGGCCCCAAAGAGACAGGAGGCATGAGCTAAGCGAAGCTGGAATCTGGCTCAGCTGCACAATAAGAGATGTGTCTCTGTCCCCCTAGGTCCCAGCCATGCCTGAGCCTCAGACATATCCTAAACCACTTTGCTGATTGCAACCTATCAATTCCTCCTGAGTTTCTGTCCAGCTGAGTCTAGGAAGTGCTACCTGGTCCTGCCCAGCATCCTAAGTGTCATATGCACACTGAAGAAGCTGCCCGAGCTTGTGGATGAAAGTCCCAGCTCATCTGTGGACATCCAAAGTCCCTCTGGTCCCAGCCAGTCTCTCCTCGCTTCTCTCCCCACCTAGGACACACATACCACAGCCCTTCATGATTCATGACAAGTCTTCCGCCCCACTCCCTGCACCTTTGTCCTGTGCCCTCACCAGGATTCACTCCTCCTGCTCTTACCAACCCCAAAGACATTTCCTGAAAGACTTCTGAGGAATGTGATCCTTTCTTCTTCCCAGAGGTGTGTCTCACTCAGCCTAACCCAGGGCTACCCTGTCCTGCCTTGAGCTATGAGGTCCAAGCACAATGTTATAGTCTGATTTGCTTCCTGACAACAGAAAGAGACTCATGGACACCAATATATGTTTGCAGAATTCACAGGAATGAGATTTCTTGCTTCTTTTTCTAGTATTAGGGATTGAACCCAGGGGCACTTTATCACAAAGCTACATCTCCAGGTCTTTTAATTTTGACACAGGGTGTCTCTTTCATTGAGTTGCCCAGGCTGACCCCGGACTTACCATCCGCTAGCCTCAGGGCCCCAAGTAGCTGGAATTACAGGTGAAGCCCAGCTCTCTGATCTTCCTCCCAGGCCACTGAACTTGGGCTGGGAAGGCAGAGTAGGACTATTCTGACTCTTAGGAGGCCTTGCCCATGTGGTGGGACCTACGCCTCACAGCCCAGCACCTGCCAACTGGGGCTGCTAGGTGGGAAATTCAGATATTGGAACGGTGCTTCTGTGAATCTAGACCCATCCTGTGAAAATCACATAAGGCCTGAAGTGAAAAGCCTCCTCTGACACACCTCTGGAATACAGCTGGGGAAGCTGCCGCTCTAAGAGAGATAAGAGATAGCCCGGATCACACAATCAGTGAATGTTGGGAGGGTCCATGACACCCTGGCTCCATCCCAGACTGATTGACTTCTTAGGGGAAGTCAACTGACCTCCTCGATGCATTCCTCGTAACTTCAGGGCAGCCTGTTTCCTGCGCTCCTGAGCTCCCTGGTCAAGTCATGGATCAAGGGCTGGTCAATGAGGTGATGATCATTTCCAAGGGAGGGCTGACCAGGGGGGCAAGTGTGGGCTGAGCTGGAGTCTGTCTTTAACTTGGACTGTCTCAGCCAAAGAGGGGCAAAGAGGACACTGGGCAGCAGCGATGGGGCTGCTGGTGAGGGTCAGAACTGCACAGGCTTCCAGGCCACTGCTCCACCCATGGCTGCTGGGAGGGAGGCACAGCCTGGCACAGCGGAGGTAGCAACCAGCAAATGAACAAGTGACCCGCTGGCTGGACTCCAGGGGAGGGGACAGAAGCTCAGTCAGGCTCCTGGGCGGACAGAACAAGCCTCCCCACGGCTGCCCGCCTGGAAGCTGTTGATCTCCAGCAGGCCTGCTGAGCCCAGCTGCTCATAACTCCCTGGCAAGTGTGAGTGGATCCCACAGAGCTCTCCCCCCCTCCCCGCAGCGGACCCCCAACCCCTGGGAGTGCAGTGCTGGGGGTGAGATTGTGGGTGGGACAGAAAGCACACAGAACCCTGACCTGGAGTGTGTTACAGCCATGCCAGCCCCTCCTCATGGCTTGAGCACAGCCCCCCTGGATCTGTTATGGTGATACAGGAGAAACTCCCGACCTGAAAGGTACCCAGGATGAGTTCGTGTTCTCTAAAACCAAAGAATGAATTTTAGAAACAGAGGTTAAGAGCAGAACTTCTATTGAGAAAGAAAGCTTTTGTCCAAGAGAGGTACAGAAGGGGGACCTGAGCGGGTTTCCCCCAGGAAGCTGTCTCTTCCAGGGACTTAGTGTAAAACCATGTGGTGAGGCGGGTCTAAGGAGGAGAACAGGGGAACTTGCTTAGGTAGGCATGAGATGGGACAAAACTATGGTCAACCAATGAGATTACAAGCACCACTGCTCAGGTAAAATTGATTAAATCCAGAACCAAATGGGGAATCTAGTCATGTAGTAAGTGGGCACGAATATAGAACAGGAGTTTATCCAGTATCCAGCCAGTAGCCATCTGACTAGTGACTCTTCCCGGCTTCCTCAAGGTGATAATCAATCCGGATGCTTATCTTTAGGGATGTAAGCATTTACCTCCATCTCTCTCACAGTTGCAAGATCGCTTGTCTTCCGTGCTGTCTCCCTGAGGGCCTAGCCCTGTGTGACTGCCTATAATATTTCTATCTAATTTAGCTGCCTACAACAGTGGCATGGTGGTCCCTGGCATTTGCAGCCAGCCACACCCCACACCAGCAGCCAGATGAAAACTCACCTCCAAGGCCACCTTCTATTCAGACAAAGAATTTACAGAGGGTGTCCTGTGCCGCCCTGGCTTTGCAGACTGGGAAAGCCAGGTCAGGGTGAGAGCTCTAGGGCAGGGACACCTAGACACCCACGCTGAGTGGCTCCCTCAGCTTCCACACTGCAGAGGCCACCCTGCACCCTCAGCCTACACACCTCTACCTCTCCCCTCCCCGTTCCTGCAGAGACCCCATGAAGCTAGAATGGCAGGATTGTCTAAGACATGAATTCTAAGAGCTTTGTACTGATCATGCTTTAATGGGGGCACCCTGGCAGCCAGGGTATGCACCTAGGCTGGAAGGCTTGAGCTGGGCACAGGCACAGGCAGAGCCCCAGGCCTCCCCTGGCGGGTGCTAACAACTCAATTCCCAGCCCTTGGGCCCTGCCAGCCCTCTAGCTGGGAGTGAACAAGTAGCAGGTGCAGATCAGCTGGGGTCCCTGAGTCACAGCTGAAGGTGGACCGAGGCACTGCTACCACAGAGCCGGCAGGAGGCATATGGGCATCGAGGCACCTCTTTGCTGCAGGGCAGGAGCCTCAGGGATCCTCTGTGGAGGCCCTGCTGCCAGAAAGCAGGCCTTGGCTTTCCCTGTCCATGCTGTCCACATCTTTGCTATCCAGGGTCCCTGTGGGAGGAAAGAAACTTCATATTTTCCAGTCCCAAAGAAAGAAGAGGGACTTTGGGAACAGGCCTGGGTACTATCTGTCAGAAATTCCTCTAGGTTCCATTTGCAAAGTAAATTCCAGATCCTCTCATTCCCTTAGGGGCTTCTACTGTGTGCTGCCGTTGAGTAGTTCCAGAACCTGTGACGGCCTCTCTGCCCCAACTGTGACCTGCTGCAGTCCGCTTTCAACACAGCAGCCAGGACGGTGCTTTCCCAGTGCAGTCAGACCTCTGGGGCTCTTCTCATCTCACTTGGCTTTAAAGCTGAGGCCCTTACAAGGCTCCCCCTGTGCCCCATACTCTGCCCTGTACTGCTACCCTCCCTCACCCTTATCACCACTCCTCTCACCTCGGCTCTAGCCACTGGGCTCTACTGCTCCTGAATGTAGCAGGTAGGCTGCACCTCAGGGCCTTTGCACTAGCTCTTCTCAGTCCACAGGCGTCTTTCACCAGGTAGCTGCATAGCTTGCTTCCTCCCTTCCTCCAACTTTACCCCATGTCACTTATGCACTGAACAGGTCCCTGGCCACCCTAGCCACAGTTGGAGCCTAGCCTGCAAGTCCCTCCCTGCCCCTCCCCTTTCCTGCTAAGTGTCCCTCTAGCACTTATCCCCTGAGGCTATTTTCTCACTTTTTCTTTTTGGTCTGTCTCCACCCACTACAGTGGCAGCTCTATGAGGTTTTAGGTTTCTCCTAATTAAGTCACTTTCTGCCATCTTCAACCCTGCCTGACATATAGCAGGGTGTGATAATTTTTTGGGGGGGCGGGGGGGCGTCTGGTACTGGGAATTGAACTCAGGACCTTGTGCTTGCCAGGCAGGCACTTGTGCCACAGAGCTATCTCCCCAGCCATCTAAGTATTTTCCAGTGGATGCATAAACAAGCTGGCCATGGGCTCACACTCAAGGTGGCCAGTGCCCTTCTGCCCCTAGATGTGCCTGGAGTACCTGCACCAGGTTGTCGGGCATGGGCCTGGTCTCCCTCCAGGTACAGTGCAGTCAGCAAGAAGCAGCCACCACCCAGGACGATGGCGAAGGCACAGCACAAGAAGCTCTGCTGCAGGCTAAGAAAGCGCTGCAGGTAGGAGTCAGGGCGCCTGGTGCGAAGGGTGCTGGAGATCTGCCAAGGAGGACCTCATGTCTGCCAAGGCCCTCTCGCCAGACCACCCCCTGGCCTTAGCAAGAAAGGTGCCTCCCTAGACCCTCCCACCAGACACATTCAGTAAGCCTTACAAGTCCAGTGAGATAGGGGCTGCCGGCGTCCCCCAGGATGTGGCCCACCGTGATCTGAAGTGCCTCTGCTGTCCCCCGGCATCTGGGCACCACCACGGACTGCAAAACACAGGAGGCCAGAGAGTTCTCCCAGTGAGGGTAGAGCGGGTGCCTCCCCCCATCCCTGTTCCACCCGCTGAGCACCTGCCTAGCACTGTGACAGGCTGGCCAGGGGCCTGGGACAGGAGGAAAATAATAATCCTCAAAACCAGGCATCAGGCCCCTCCATGACTCGTGCCCAGGAATGGGGGTGCCAAGGTGCTTATCACAGGCACCCCACAGTTTGACCTTGAGCTGGGCAGGGACCAGGCATGGCAGTGATAGTCCAGCTCAGGGGCCAAGGGGCAGCAGGGCAGATGGCAGAACACACAACCAGGTGCTTGCATGTGCACGCATTTCGGGCAGGGGCAGGAGGGACATGGCGGACTCAGTCTTCTCGGGAACATCAAGTATCATTGGGTAAAGATCAGAGGGAGCCATGCTGGGCCTACACATCTCCATGGAGGGGTGAGGGAAGATCAGGAATATGAATTCTAGCCTGGAAGAAGCACTTGCCTAGCATGTTTGAGACTCTGGGTTCCATCCCCAGTGCTTTAGTACCTCCAAATAATTGTACAGTTAATCTGTGGGGGTTCCCACCCTGAGTCCCCTCTCCATTAGCCTGTTGCTTTGGGCCAGGTACTTCACGCCTCTGTGCCCTAGTTTTGTCATTCCCAGCTAGAGATGATAATAGTACCCACATTGAGGTAACCCTCAGCACTACTTAGCTGGCACCCAGAGGCTTCAGGTGCACACTGTGCTGAAATAACACTGAGGGCAGAATCATCTGGGCACCTGGACATGGGATGCCTTCTGCCAAGCCTGCTTCCCCCTCTCTGGTCTACCTGAAGCATCTCTATCCTTAAGGCTTACCTTTGGGTCCCCTCTTCTGTGAAGCCCTTTCAGAGTTCAGGAGCCTGCCCACGCTCCCACAGCCCCATGCATGTCCCTAACTGAATGCACATCATGATAAAACTAGAAGGAAGGGTCCTTTTTTTGTTCACCACTCCTTATCACCCAGACTGTGTTGGCAGTGATGCCCTTAATTTCTTTGAGGTCCCTAAGTAGAGGCACAGAGGGGAATAGCGAAAGTCTTCCAATAAGCATGTTCAAGTAGAAACTCCTGGAAGACTGATTACAGGGGAAGCCCTACCAGGGGAGCCCAGTAGGGGAGCCTCCTGCCTCACCACCTTGACTCAGGACATTAGTGCCCATAATCTGAGCCAAGCAGAGAATAATAGCTGTGATGATGATGATAACAATAATGCCTAGTGTTTATGGAATGTATCTTGCTTTTTGGAAGGGTCTACAGGGTGTTCAGGGTCTCACTACTAAATCAGTGATTCTCCTGTTTACAGCCTCCCAAGAGCTGGGATTACAGGTGCATGCCACCACACCCAGTCTCAATCCACATCGCAGGGCACCATGGGGGCAGCCCCCTGCCCCTGCTTGCAGGTGTTTTAATCCACTGAGCTATTTGGATGGCCTTATTGAATGTATCTTTATGCATTTTATATATCAACCTATGAGGGAGATAATTATTATGCACATTTTATATATAAGAAAACACGACAGGCCAGATAGCACAGCGGACTAAAGTGCCTGCTAAGGCAGGCGCAGGGACTCCGGTTCAATCCTCAGCATACCAGGCCAGTGGGGCACGCTGAGATGGTGATTGAGACTGGGTGTGGTGGCACACACCTGTAATCTCACTGCTTGGGAGGCTGAAAAAAGGAGGATCACTACAAGTCCAATCTATGTAGTGAGACCCTGTAGACCCTGTAATAAATGCACTTTTTAAAAAAAAGAATAGAAAACCTCCTCACAGCAGGTAAGTGACTTCCTAGGTTATCCACCAATAGCCCTGGCCTTCCCCCTCTAGGGCCTGGACTTGTGTTCACTCAGTGGTGCTGTTTGAGGAGGAGCTCGCATGTCCGGCAATGTTTATGTTTGATATAGAACATTTAGAAAAGAGAAAGAAAGCTAAAAAGGACAAGTCCATCAATGGCCCGGCAAAGGGGCAGGAGAGGAATCAGTACCAGGCTGAGAGCTGGATGAAGAGCCCTCTAGGCAGGGGACCGTGGCATTCAAAGTGTGGAAGAGGAGCCCACAGGGACAGTGACTGGATTTCAGAAACACAGAGGCCAGATGCATGAGGTCTGGGGCGAGGGAGTCTTGTGAGAGGGTAGGCCCAGTGGCAGGGGTCCCTCTGGGTGATCAGCCAGTTCCAGGTCACTGGCACTGAGCCACCCTGTCCAGGTGGTGAGAGAAGCTGGGCTTCCTGCCATGGCAGGGACCTGCCAACAGGCTGAGAAGGAACGAACCGCAGCTTTACACCTTCCACAGGACTTCCTTCTCACCCCATAATTATGTGATTACTCATGGGTGGTTCTGGGGAGACTGCAAGGCTTCCTCGACTGAGGTCCCCGCCTGTCCAAAAAGGTCCCTGTAGGGGCTGGCACTGCTTGGACCCTCAGAATAAGGACCTAGCCGCTGGCCCCTTCCTCTCCTCCCCTCCACCTGCTGGGCTGAGAGCAGCCACTGTTGCCTGCAGTGGGAAGGCAGGTCTTCCTCCCCCAGCCCACCCTGCCTGTTCTGGGTCTCCTCTGTTGCCTTCACACAGCCAGGGGCCAAGGCTGGGCCCAGCGACACCTGGAGAGCCCAGGGGGTAATTTTAGAAATGGGAAGCTTCTGGGTTCCCAAAAACTCCAGGTTCACTCTATTCTGATACAAAACACTTCTGGTTTAGGCTCACCCTTCTCAGAAAGTTGTTCCCTTTATAGACCAAGACAAAAATTGGCCAAGAGTCGGTAGGTAACCACCAGGTGTAGACTCCCTGGCAGCCTGCCTCCCGCACTCCCCACTGGGCCCTCAAGCCCAGGCACCCCTGGGAAGGTGAGGCAGATCCCTGGAGGGTGGGGCTGAGCAAGGCAACACTGAGGCTGAGGAGAGGTGGTACCCTAGAGGGGGGCTGGGAAAATCTGCTGAGGAGGTGGGGAGAGTGAGCCTGGGAGGGAAGCAGCGAGCAGTTTCTGCACTATCCTCTTCTCCAGGAAGCGGGTGAGCTGGCTATGGGTCACCCCTGGCGGGGTTAGGAGGGATCTGGAGACCCGGGAAGTGGGTTTGGAAAGGCAGGGAGTCAACCTGCAGAGAAGCAGGAGACAGCATCTAAGCCTTCCAGAGTGAGACCCTCTGCAGTCCAGCCAGGCCAGGGGAAGTTGCCAGAAGTGGGTACTGGCTATGACTGAGCCCCCTGGGAGGCAGAGGCTGCCAGGGTGCAGGGAATGAGCCACGCACAGAGGGGAGGGGCGTGTGGGAATTTTGCAAAACCCAGGTGCATGGGGAGTCTGAGTGTGCCAGGCCAGTGTCTCTAGGGTGCTCTGAGGAATACTGGACCTGGAGCCCTCTGGAAGTCCCTCAGAAATGCAGGTCCCTCCACACCCTAGACCCACTGCTGAATCACAGTCTGCGGGCACAGGGCCTGGAGTAGTAACAAGCTCCTCCAGACTCAGTTCTTATGCATAATGAAGTTTGAGGGCCACTGGACCGCAAAAGCCCAGGGGCCCTGCTTCTGAGAAAGTCTGCATTCTCCTCCAGCGGATTAGGTAGGGATCACAGAGAGCACTGTCCTACGGCAGACCACCTCAGAGGCTAGAAGGCCCACAGGACCCCTCAGCAGAGTGCACATCTAGGCCTTAGCTCATTTCCTTCCTAAGACCTAGAGGGTAACTCATAGGTGCGCAGCTGTGCAAAGCAAGTGCCAGAGAGTTTAAGTCACTTGAGCAAGGTCACAAAGCTAATTAGGGACAAGGCTAGGAATGAAAGCAGAAGGAGAGCTGCAGAGGCCTCAGGCCTGGGCTCTGTTGACCTTGACCCTTCAAACTCACCCCCCCCTCCAGGGTTCGGCCCACTTGTTCCACTCTCCATTCCTCTTTTCCCCTTACTCATTCTTGGCTTCCTCTCTGGCCCAGAACTGTCTGTATATGCAGGCCCCTTAGCTCCCTGCCCAATCTTTCCTGACCCATTGTTCACACACACCCTGAGGCCTCCTGGTTCCCTTAGGCCCCTGCCCAAAGAGAATCCCACTTCTAACCTCAGAGCACATACAGTGGCCAAGAATACTGCCCCACCTGCCTGGATCCCACGCCCTTGTGGCTCTCCACATGCCAGGCCACCTCTTTCCACACCTTCTCCCCTCTCTGGCCACCTCTCTTATGCTTTTGGTTTGTTTGGTTGGTAGGTTAGTCCCAGTTGGTCTGGTTTAGGATTTGGGGTGGGAGGTATTGTGATGCTGGCCATTAAACCCAGGATCTTGTACAAGTGGGCAAGCACTTTACCACAGAGCCATACCCCTTGTCCCTTTTAGTTGGTTTTGTTTTGGTTTGTTTTTGGTTTGTTTGTTTTCTGTTTTTGAGACAGGATCTGGCTACCTGGCTACTGCATACAAACTGGTCTCAAACTTCCCACCCTCACTGGGTGTGGTGGTGCTTGCCTGTAATCCCAGCACTCTGGAAGGCTGAGGCAGAAAGATCAAAAGCTCAAGGCTAGCCTGAGTAATTTAGCAATTTACCAAGAGTGTCTCAAAATTTAAGGGGAAAAAAAAAACTGGGGTTGCAGCTCAGTGTAAAGGCCCTAGATCCCATCCCCAGTATTGGAAAAGAAAAACAAACGCACTTTCCATCCTCCTGCCTCAGCCTCCTGAGTAGCTGGGATGGCAGGTGTACAACAACTCACCCAGCTCTGGCCACCTCTTGAAAGGGCCGCCTCCTGGGATCTTGTGCCACATCTAGGTACTGTTCTCCCTCCCTCCTCCTGATACCATGTGTCCCTCTATTACACAGACAGGGTCACCCACAGCCTGCCTATCACCTGCATAGGCCCCGAGACCACCGCCTCCTGCACCTCTGCCAGGGAATCAGCAGCAGGGCCCACTGAACTCCCAGGGCTGCAAGGCCTAGCCCAGCACCCACCACCTAAATGCAGGAGGCCGGTCTGTAGCCACACAGGCTCCCCGGATGTAGAGGCTGGAAAGGGGGCAGGAAGCGCACTAGGTGGCTGTGCCTAACTATGTGGCTGAGGGCTCCACACCAGAGAAGAACGGCAAGGAGCTGAGGTGCCAGCTGCCCCACTCCAGCCGGCCAGGACCCACCCCTTCTCTCTTCAGTTCTACCAAGAGCCTGGCTCTGGCAGGTTAATCATTCTTCAGACACAGACACTGGGGTATGCAGTGCAGGCCTCACATATCTGTGTGGCCGTCATGTGTAGCCACGCCGTGGGGGGCAAGTGGAGGAAGCCACGGGGGGCATAATGAGCTCTGAACTGCCAGGCTATGTTGGGGGCATGAGGTTCCTCTCCCTGTGTCCAGGGGACTTTCCAGCATGTTGTCTTGCTAGCCCACAACTGAGCAGGTTGTGATTACCCCTTTTTATAGACCAGGAAACTGAGGCCCCAGGCCATTTGGCAGGGCTGTGGCTAAGTCTCGGGCTGGAGCCCAAGTCACACTGGGGGGTGCCGGGGAGGGCCAGGGAAGGCCACCAGCCCTGTAGCTGATACATGCTGGGAGCCCAGGACAGGGCAGCCCTCTCCATGCTGGCTGAGCCTGGACCATGGGGAGAGGGCAGCACAGCTCAGCAAGGAGTGAGCGTCCTGTCAACAGTCGTATTCAAGAAGGCCTTGTTGACTAAATGACTGCACATTCCTGTAGCCCTTTCATGCTTGGGCTTTAGGGCTCCAGGATTTCTTTGAGGGCCAGGAGATGGACAAGTGAAACCTGGGAGTTGCTGAGAATCCAAGGCAGCATCCTCTTCTGGGTGGTGGGTGAGTGTTTCACCCACCCCACGGTCTCACCTCCCCAATGGCCTGCGAGGTGGTACTACTATCATCTCCATGCGGGGAAGCTGAGGCTCAGAAGCACAAAGTGACTTGCCTAAAGTCACACATCTAGTGACAGAAGCAGAGATAAATCCCACATCTGTCTCCTGACTCCAGGCACTGCCAGTTGCCTGGGTGTCCTAGGTCTCCGTTTTGAGGTAGAACCATGCCACCAGGAGGACACAGAGGGCTTCAGGGTGCTCCCAGGCCCAGGAGTCTGTTATCAAGGACACAGTCCTTCTCATTGTTCAAAGTTCTTCCACACACACCTTGCAGGAGGAGTCAGGGAGGTCAGACACAGGGAGGCTCGGGAGGGGCCAAGCTGGCCTCTGGCTGTAGCAGTCATTTGGTCAGGACAGTGTCAGGCCTCGTGAGAGCCTGATCCAGGTCTGTGCACCACAGCCCACCACACATGAGCTGGGGTGGACACAGCTGGGCTCAGTGGCCAGTGCCCTGAAGTGCAGCACCCCAGCTGCACAGCTGAGTGCAGGCTTGCTAAGAAGTGGCTTGGTAAAGAAAGGGCGAAGGAGGGAGTCCTGGGATCCAGCACTGGCCCAAAGCGTTGGTACTCTGTGACCACGGCCCTGGTACCTGCCTTCTCTGAGCTTCCATTTGCTCATCTGCAAAATGGGAGTGACAGTAAGAGGACATATTTGAGTGTCAGGGGCCCTATGGCCTTAAGCAGCTCTGAGTGGCCTTGGTCCTCTACCCCATGGCCTCTCCAAACTCTAGACTGCTCAAGAGCAAAGGCCAACTCTGAGTGAACAGAACCAGCTTGTCCTGCCCAAGAGGGCCTGGGGCTGCCCCCACCACACCCAGGCCTACCAACAGGATGTCAGCCACCACTGCCCAGTTGCAAGACAAAAGCAGCTCCCCCAAGGCCAGGAACACCTGTGGAGAAAGGATAGCTGGGTGAGGCTCCCTGCAGTGTCTCCCCACAGTGACTACAGAAACTGAGGCTCTACAAAGAAGGCAAGACCAAGACTGACTAGGCTGGGCCAGTCTGGACCTGGTTCTCCAGTTTTCACAGTCCCAGACTACAGGCAGATAGTTCCTGAAGACCTGGCCAGGGGCCATGACCTGGAGGTAAGCACCAGGCCCCAGCCCTGAGAAATGCATGCTTCCTAAGGGACAGTCCTGCGACCCAGCTCTTGGGATTACCCAAAGAGCTTATCCTACTGAGCCATCTCCCCGGCCCCAGACCTGTTGTCTTCTGAGGCCTATATACACCGATAAGTCACCTACTATGTGTGTGCCTGCCAGTATGGCCTGGGCTCCATGAAGGCCCCTTCTAGGCCATCCCTTACCCAAATGCCTAGAGCAGTATATAGCTAGTACACCCATGGTGTGGGGAACTGAACCTAGCCAAGGCCAAAGCTTGCCTGAGGTCACCAGCTGGCCCAAGACAAAGCCACTGGCCTTTCTAGGCTCCCGGCCCCTTTCCAGTGCCCACTCTCTGCCTGGCTCCTGATGTTCTCTGGTGACCACAGGCAACTGTGGGCTGGTCTCACCCAGTACCCTGAAACTCCCACCTCGTGCCAAGGGATTAAAACAATCCTCATTCCCCTCACTCAAGAACAGTTTAATGAAGCAGCAAGAAGAGAAAGAAAGTCTCATTTCTCAGAGTTTCTAAGAGCTTAGTACTGGGGTGGAATTAGTCATTCCTGGAGTCACGGGGCTGTGCACTGGGCAGGAGGCTCAGGCACTCCAAGCCTGATGCTCAGAAGCCTGTGAGCACAGGCGCAGAGGAACAAGGGACCACTGCCCAGACACCTACTGTGCACCAGCACGTCCACTCTTGTTGCATCTCAGGTGAGCTGGTAAGTTGCATGTCACTGCACCTATGTCACAGACCAGAGATCCCAGGCTCAAGGTTACACATCTAGCCCTTCCTGGAGAGTCCCTCACCAGGAAGGTGAGCCCTGTGTACAGGGAAAGTGAGGAAATCGTTGGCAAAAAGAGTTCAGGGGCCTCCAGGCGCCACAGTGCCCAGTGAAACTGGCCTGGGGGAATCAGGCAGGGAGGGAGGGAGGTGGCCCTAAGCAGAGCCCCAAAGGGCAGTCAGGATCAGGACAGGCTGAGAAGAGGTGCAGGACCTCGGAGGTGGGGAACCCACACAAGCAGAGGCCAGGCTGCAATGTGCCTTCCACAGTGGGTGGGGCAGGACTACAGGCAGGCACTGGTGAAGAGTGGGTGGAAGGGGACAAGTGAGCTATGTGTTCTCTTACTCTAACCAGAGTCCCTGTGGCTGCGGCCTCTGGCCCTTGGCACAGAAACGGGAGGCCCTTGAGGGCAGGGTGGACCAGCCGCAGAGCCTAAGACAGGGGATGGGCACCCACGGCAGAGGGTATCAGGAAGTTGCTGGCCAGCAGTTCTCAGGCGAAGCCCAGGCAGGCCACAAGACCACATTCTGGCTTGACAGGGCCTACCAACAGCCTCCTGCAGATACATGAAAGCCAGGCCCGACTCCCATCCACCCTCCTGCCATGTCTTCTGGCTTCCTCCTCCTGGGCCACCAGGCTCTCCTCTCTTCTCCTAACATACCAGTCCACCCCTGCTGTGTCCTCTCCCACCACACAGTCCAGACAGCGGCAGCCTCAGCCACACAACCTCCGGTTTTGTCTCTCCCCTGCACGGTCCACACCCACAGGACATACTAAAATACACCTTTTCCTTCCTCCAGCTGGGGCAGGGTGGATCTTGAGCCCAAAAAAAGCTGATTAGAGAGAGGCAGCAGCCACAATGGGGCTTTTCAGGACGAGAGCCATCCAAGGATTCCAGGTTTCCTCAGACACACCTGGAAACTGACACCACACCACCAAATCCTTGGCTCCACTCTGTGGAGGGGCAAAGAGCTGGCAGGGGAGAGGGCTCCTGCTAATCCCTTAATTACAGAGGCTCCCTGCCAGCCCCAGCCAGGCCACCAAGGCTCCAGGAGGGGCTCTGTGACACAGGGGTGTGTCCTCTCCAGATGATGCCCCAGGCCCACCTGTCTGCTGAGGCACCTGGGGGAGCTCCCTGCCTCTGGGCCTTGGCTTCCCTGACTGCCTAATGTGGAGAGAATCAGATGCCTAACCAGCCTTCTAAGGCACAACAGACAGCTCCTGAAGCAGGTCACCTCACTACACATTTGCAGTCCCCTCAGGCAAGGCACAGATCTGGTCCTAGCTCAATGACTCCCATGACTGGTTCAGACTTGGGTTCCTCAATTAAAAAACAAAACCAACAAACAAAAGGGGCCCAAGTGTGAAAATTGTAGTGCCTCTTCAAAGCCACTCCTATGTGGGCACCTCAGCTCTGTAAGTCCAGGCCCCTCCTGGGCAGCCACACGGCAGAGTACACTGTCCAGAGTTCTTCCCTCTTCCACCCTTCCACCTCACTGCTCCTCCCTGGGTGGCCAAGCCAGCCAGGATGTAGGCACGCTGGCTACCAGAGCACCGCTGAAGCTGCTCATCGTCTGGCCAGACGCAGGGTGACCAGGCATCTCTCTTGCACCTGCCCACCCTTGTCATCACCGCTCCCATCCATTCTGCATCTCACTACTCCTTAGACCCACCTCTGCCTCCTGTCCACTGCTGTGGGCCTCCCCTCCTCTCTGGCCTCCTGTCCAGTTTCCCAGACCCATCCGAATGCAGGGGACTTCCAAAAGGGAAATCAGACTCTGCTCTCCTGCACCCCAGTCTTAGTCCTTGCTGGACAACAGGGCCTGGGATTGCTGCCTGGAGCACGAGAAACTGGCTGAGCTGGGAGCCCAGCCCCTGCCACTCCAGACTCAGAGGGTTTCCCCTTTATGCTGGGGCAGCAGCGATGAAAATCCCTGGCTTAGTCACCGCTGGCCAGAGAGGTGCACACACACACATACCCATGCTCACACAGCCGGATATGGACACATGCTCACATGTGTGAAGCCACGCAAGAGCTCACGTGTGCCCACACCTGCACATGACACAAACACTCATAGCCTAGGAGCCACACGCAACCATACAACAACTCCGCACATATCTAGGTAACAGAGATGACATGCAAAATATCAAACATGTGATGCCATCCACAGCAGAGCACACCTGCAGTCCCCTCAGCCGGGAAGGTGGGACAGGAGGATCACCACAAGTCTGAGGACAGCCTGGGCTACACAGTGAGACACCATTTCTTTTTTTTTTTTTTTTAAATATTTATTTACTTATTTAGTGTGTGTGTGTGTGTGTGTGGCCAGCTCAGCCCACCAGGGGGCGGGGCTGGCTGGCATGTGGTGCTGGGGGATTGAACCGCGGTCCCTGTGCTTTGTTTAGCTTAGTTTTGTTCTAAGTAGGTCTAAAGCACCTAGACCACTGAGCCATCTCACCAGCCCCGAGACACCATTTCAAAAAGTAGAAAAAAGCCCTGAAGCAAGGGCATGAATCAAAGAAATGGTGGCACTGGGCTTGCTGAGCACACATGCTGAAGAACAGCCTCACATGTAGACAGGTGTGCGCACCTGTGGTCTCATGAGAGGCATATCAAGTTGCACACACACACACACACAAAAAAAAAAAAAAAAAAAAAAACAAAAAAAAAACATGCCTGGCGCTCATGTTCACATGTATGGCTGTGAAGACACCTCTACCCCACACATACAGAGCTCCCCTCATGCACATCTGCATGCAGAAGTAGGCATGGGGAGGCAACAGGGAGGCATGGGGGAGCCCCACCCCAGTGACATCAGCACGGTGGTGTGGAGGGCCAGTGTCTTCAATGCCAGTGCACAGCTCAGTCTCCTACCTGGGCAGTTCTGACCTCTGAACTCCAAGGACAGATTCTCTCCCCTGCCAGGAAGACAGAAAACCAACGCCCCTCACATGGATATCTGAATATCTGGAGCCCTCATGGATCAGCGCCTTCCTTACACAGTACAACTGAGCCAGTCAGGACGCAGGCCCTTGGGCACAGACCAGCCGCCAGCAAGCTGCCGCACCGGCTGGCATGCTTTGCCCCTAGGCCTGCCAACCTGTAATTGCAGGGCACAAGGGCACTGCCTGGTTTCCAGGGGCTAGCAGCAGCCCATCAACCTGGTAGGCAGGCAGAGGGGCAGTCAGGCAGTGAAGGGGCAAAGCTCTAGGGTCCTCCCTGGCATTGAGGGCTCTCGTGAGAGATGGGCGATGGGCTGCCTGTGTAAGAAGGCACCTGATGGGTGCTGCAGGGAGGTCAGGCCCCACACAAGAGTGGCAAGGGCAGGTGCGTGTCTCTCAGCCTCTTGGAATCAGCCCCTGAAAGAGGCCTGTTTACTTCAGCCCAAAAAGCAAGGAAGAAGGGCTGTATCCTTGAAACCTCCCCAACAGGCCCATATCTACAAAGTGACAACAGCCAGGAATGTGGTGGCACATACCTGTAATTCTAGCACTTGGAAGGCTGAGGCAGAAGGATTGCTAGAGTCAGCCTGGGCTACATAGTGAGCTCAAGGCCAATCTGAATTACATAGTGAGACCCTGTCTCAAAGCCCTCCTCACTCCAAAAAAGAAAGCGACAACAAAGCTTCTCAGATCTGGGCACTTGCACAACCCAGTGGTCAGAGCCGCCCCGGGACCAGGAAGCAGATCCCACAGCCATGCCCGAGTCTCCAGATGACCCTGACTGCCACTATGGTACACACACATCCCCGCTGGTCCCACCAAGCACCTCACAAGCTCCTCTTGGGGCAGAAACCAGGGCTCCAACCTATGTCTTTCCTCCAGAGTCTTCTGGAGATGGAGCAGGACAAGGTCCTTCCTGCGTGTAAAGGCCTTGGTGACAGCCGTGCTTGGGTGCTGCTAATCCCACCACATTGGACAAGAAGGGATTTCAGAGTCATGAACAAATTTCCCTCCTGAGTAAAGGTGGAGGA